TGTAAGAAGAGAGAAGCTTTTCACTAAAAAGACTTCTGTGATCCATTATTTGTAATGGACCGTGCAGAATTTACTGATAATGATGAACTGACACAGCCTCTTTAAGCCTGAGATAAATGTTGACAGTGGAGAATATGAGTCGCAATCAATAGAGACGGATGCTGATGGGTTCTCTGATGAGAATAATTTATCTTTGTTAGAGGCTTTGTCACTTCACTGTGTTAATTTCTGCTGTAATCTCAAAGAGTTACAGTTACACCCCCCCACCCCATACACACCTGCTATTAACATGTGTTTTTTGGGATAGTGATCCGATTACATGTCCACTTTCTTTTCGCTGTGTGAACCCCACATATGAAGAACTTACTCAGCTGACGTCCTCTGAGTTTCACTACAAATCAAATTTATTTTTTCTCTTCTCGTTCACTTGTTTGTAACCACCCCCACAATATCAACACTGATCACTACATAACCTTACCCCTCACCTGAACTATGACCACTTAATGTCTATAACCACAATTCAACAACACACACACTCTCTCTCTTTCACTCACACATACACACACTCCTTCTCACTCACTCTCTCTCACATAAACACACACACACACACACTCACTCACTCACTCACTCACTCACTCACACACACACTCACACACACACACACACACACACACACACACTCCCTCTCTCTCTGCAACATGCCTCTCAAAGACACACACTTGAAATCATGTTCTTTACTATTTACCAACTTATAAAATTAAACAGATCAAACATCTCATCCACGATGTGAAGTGGAAATAAAACCAAACGTCCAAACACTGATTCACTATTCACGTTTTCGCTTTTTATTTGCAATCGCGATTTGTTCCCCCTTAGAAAGGGATTGTCCTCCTCGGCCACCGTATGCTATCGTGGCGTTTTGCAGCTGAGTGAAGTGTCACATCAGTGAACCTGTGACCTGTTTCCTGTCGGTTCCACGGTATCGAACCTGGTTCATCACACACACACACACACACACCGGACTGTGTTTCCTGTAGCGGGTCAGGATGAGACGCGCCAATCTGGGTGAGAAAAAAACGTCCAAGTTCCTTTTTTATTTTTTTTAAGCTAACACTTAGCTTGTTAGCTGCGCAGCTAACGTTAGCCGTTGTTGTGGTCCGATGTGTTGGCGTCATGTCAGTGGCCTGAAGCGTGAACAGTGACGGTGAATTAACTGTGTTGTGCTCGGTGAAGGTGAGGGAGGCTCCGGAGGATATGTGGCCAGTGGTTACAGTGTGCACGAGGAGGAGAACGAACATCTGCAGGAGGGACTGAGAGCTAAAGTCAACGCGCTGAAAAGTGTAAGTTAGTCGTGGTCACACGGTGACAGACTGTCTGTGGGTTTCTAATATACTTATGTGTTGATACTTGTTGTTCACAGCTGTCTATCGACATCGGAACTGAAGTCAAATACCAGAATAAAATGCTGGATGACATGGTGAGTTTCACTTCAGTAATCCAACTTAATGTCAACAGTAAATAAGACACCTTCAGATACTTGAATTAAAACCAGTCATACACAGTGTGAAAATACAGAATTAAAAAATAAAATCTAAACTTAAAACTTCAAATCTAGTGTTTGAAATCAAAAGTACAGATATATATAATACTGATGCGTAATTACTTAATGTGATTTATAATCTATTTAGTGTCAAAATTCCCAAAATGCAAAATAACTCCTTACCAACGCTGTTATTAAATGTAGTAGAGTTCAGAAAGTACATTTCTTCTATCTTGGATGTAGTAGAGTAAGTATTAGGTCCCATGAATTGAAAATACTCTAGTAAAACACTACTTGTACCTTCATACTTTTCATGGTTTGTATTTTATTACTATCCTCGTTTTAGAACACAGGACAAGATGGAAGTGAATTCATTTGGTTACATTCCACTATTGTAATATATGAATCATAAGTGGACTGTATTTATCTAGAACTTTTCCAGTCACAGTCACATTTACCCATTCACACACACATTCATGCTGCACTTACATATGAGTCACTGTTACACAGTCACACTAACAGAAGTGACATCAGGAGCAATTCAGCCTTCAGTGTCTTAGAGACTGGAGGAGCCAGGGATTGACCCACCGACCTACTGGTTAGTGGACAATCCGCTCCATCTCCTGAGCTGCCTGTTACATAATAACACCTGGATCATTATGTTTTTCTGGACTTGGGACTTTTTCATATCTCTCTTTCCCACAACAGGACACAGACTTTGACTCGACCGGCGGCCTGCTCGGTGCAACCATCGGCAGAGTGAAGCAGCTGTCCAGAGGCAGTCAGACCAAACTGCTGTGCTACATGCTGCTGTTCTGCTTTTTCGTTTTCTTCATCCTGTACTGGTTCATCAAGCTGAGGTGATTGGAGGAACCTCCTAGAGTTGGCCCTTTGTAATTTCACATCTCCCTCCTCCCACAGTTGCTGTTGCATCTCAAAACTAGGCCAATTTAATCATGAGGACGAGGACAGGCAGGGGTTTAAAAATAAAGTCTTAAGCTTTACAGGGGGCCAGTGTCTTCATACAAAGACCCCAAAATAGAGTCAAGCAAGGACTGATGCTTTTTGATGTCTTGAACAGTAAAACTGGTTTAGACAGGTTAAGGTCTGAGGTGATTAATGATCAACAGCCCAATTGACCTAAAGTGAGTAGATGAAAAAAGATTAAACCTAATGTAACTGGAGAAGATACTGTGTTAAAAAACCTTACAGCTGTAGTGGGAACATTGAATAATAAAAAGCAACAGATCTGTGGATTATTTTGTCAACCACAACCTTTGCTGTGTCAATAATAATAATTATTGTTCATAAAAGTATTAAAGTTATAGAATGCTTAAGGAGGTAAGTATTATAAGGAGGTAGTTTTGATTTAAGAATGAATGGAAATGCCACAAGATTTGTAAAACAATTAACAACAATGTACTTCATTACTGTTCAGATTCTGTTGTAAAAATGTTTTTTTAATGTAAATAAAGACGTTTTATGCAATGTATTGACTATTGTACACTACTTCAACATATAGATTTGTCATAGACAGCCAGAATCCATTTATTTTACACAGCCACTTTATACACCTTATACACTTAGTCTATTTAAAAATAGGTTTAGTCTTTAAATTAAATCATAATCAATCTTTAAAATGACACACCTAATAAGCTTCATTATTAGGGAGCACACAGCCTTCATTCAGATCCATTTTGTTCAAACAAAAGGCAAAGAGTTGAAAAGAATCGGAACTGCACTTAGGTGATCAGTAAGTCAGTGTCAACAATTAGCTTATTATCAGCAGAGTCGGTCTCTGAGTCAGCTGTTGATGACATCACTTCTTGGGTAGCATGTCCATGTACTTGCATATGATTCCCAGCATGACCTCATCAGCCCCTCCACCGATCGACATTAACCGGGAATCCCTGCGGAAAGGACGAAGTTAATACATTATTTGCCCTGCCACCAGGTGTCGCAACAGTGTAAAGTACTGGCTTAGAGAATCTACATCAGACACTTACTTGATTAAACATTGTATAAACAAGGTCAGATGCTTCATGTTGTGAAGAGCTTGTTAATTCAGTGTATAATCATGTACATTTAACTGCACATCTTCGAGAATTTAATTGAGTATTCTATCACATGCTGCGTTTCTATAACAACCATCAATTAGTCTGATTTCAGCTCTGTGGTGAAGGAATTAAAAGGTCTGTATTTACATTGCGATTCTCAAGTCTTGATGACCACTCGAAGCGCTTTACAGTACAGGTTATTGCAATTCACACACATGTATAGTCTATGGGCATCACTTTCTGCACGAGGGGCAATTCAGAGTTCAGTATCTTGCCCAAGGACATTTCGGCATGCAGGTGGGGAAGATTAGGATCGCACCGCCGACCTTCTGGTTAAAGGACGACTGCCCCCTCAGCCACAGCCACCCCTGAATTAGTCTTTGACCTTGTTGTAAAATACATTGATGGAAAACTTGATTGACATTTTCCCAACTGGTGAGGTTTCTGTCGCCATAGAAACATCACAATGATCACACAAAAACTCACAGTTGGCAGCCAAACAGAAAACCGGTTGGATCAGAACCTTCATTAGCGGGAAATAATTTATATGTTTGGGATGATGTGAACAAAGTGAAAAATAATGGAACCAAACATTCCAGTACAATATGTTATAAACCTTTGTAGACAAACCAATACAGATTTCTATAACTATGTAGTTCATACAATAAAAGGGTGACAACAAAAATGTAAAACAGATCAAGTAAAGACATTTTATTCCAGTTGTATCAGTCTTACCTGTAAAATCTGCTGACCATCACGTCACTGGTGAAACCCATCCCTCCCCAGAACTGGAGACAGCTGTCACCCACTTCTCTGGCCAGACGACCCCCCTTCAATTTGGCCATGGATGCCAACTTGGTGACATCATTACCTTTAATGTACAATGCTGCGACAAAATACATACAAAAGGAAAAAGTGAAGTAGTGACAAATTCAATAGAACCGATCAATGCTGTTATTATTAAAAACAGGAACTTGTGTGAACTTCCCCTGTTTCGATGTGTGGGAAAGTTTATTTGTGCAGTTAAACCGTTCTGTTCCAAACACAAGCAAAAGCTTTGATTTCTTCCTGGAAAAGTAAATCTAACTTGAACTGGTACAAGATGCATGAATTTAAATGAAGCTGCTTGACACTGAAGTGATTAGAAACAAGTCTAATACAAGAATAACTGTTGACCTTTATTCTAAATTCGATAAGGTGCTTAAGTAATGGAAAACTATTGACTTTTACATATTACTTTTTAACTGAGAGAATGTGATCAAGTTCATCAAGTTTGTTGAAATATACAGTTAACAGAAGTAACGATTAGATAATAAAATGTCATGGAAAGACAGAAGAGCAATGTCAGGATAGATCTTCAAGTATGGCTTGAAATTTTACATAATTTGAATAGTAAGAAATAGTCGAATAGAAAATAATTTGAATCATTGAAAGTTAAGTCATTGGTTTCAGGCGATTCACCTAAGAAATTCTTCCTTGTGTTGCTGTGTCAGTCAAGTAGCAACCAGTTGTCATGCTAACACCACCAGTTTTTGTGCTTTCTACAGCCAGTTAATCACACATCACTACCCAACACTGAGCCAACATCCTGCTCGGTGCCCTCTTGTCTTTCAAAACAGAGCTGCTGGACTAATCAGCCACTCAAGGTTAGTTTGGCAGTCACATCATTGTTGTAGAGTTCAGTCAATGTCAGCCTTTGCTACAGCGGCCTCAGTCTTATCTGTGGTGTAAAGTTCCACAAGGACAGATCACTGGCTGGGATTTTCCTAAAATACTTCACATGCAAATCAAGCTTGTTTGTTCCCTATTCAGACTTTTGTGAGTATTTTTAAATGTATTATCCATTAGTGAACAGAACCGTTAAATGCAGCAAACATACGTTAATCGTTCTTTTATTCTTGTGCCATCCCTCTCATCAGGTGACCCTACCTGTAGCGCAGTGGAGGAGGGAGCGGAGGAGCTCCACCTCTGTCTGCAGCTCAGCCAGCCTGAAGTGAACCGACTGGTGGTGGAGGACGGGCATCTTGAAGATCTTCCTCTGCCTTGTGTACTTGATGGTGTCCTGAATGATGTTGTCCATCATTGTAAGGACTAGAGGTGTTGAGATAAGAGAGACAGAGCGAGAGGTGATGTCGGGTTTTACCTCCTCACTGAATGCCAACAGCTGCATGTCTGTGAAGGGTTGTTATTTATGTCTCTTATTTTTACGCCTCCGCGCCAGCGACCGGAGGAATTATGTTTTCGAGTTGTCCATCCGTCCGTCCAATTCTCGCGAGCACGATATGTCATGGACGTCTTGAGGGAATTTCTTGCACTCAAGGATCAACTGATTCGATTTTGGTGGTCAAAGGTCACAGTGACCTCAGTTTTTACCTTGTGAAGGTGATATCTCTGGAACACCATTAACAAATCCTTTCACGTTTGATACAAACATTCACTTGGAGTCAAGGATTTAATCACTTAGTACCTTTTGGAAGGTCAAAGGTCACAAAGTATGTTTGTTATTCTTGAACATGTTATTTTCAGATCAGCTTGAGGGAATTCTTTCAACATTCAATTAAACTTGGACTTAATTTTGGTAACCAAGGGTCAAAGGTCAAGGTGGCTTCAAAGAAATGTGTGTGATATCTCAGGACTGCTTGATGGAATTTCTTCAACTTTTGATCAATGTCACTTGGACCCAGAGATAAAGTGATTGTGTTTGACTGGATGAAGGCCAAAGGTCACAGTGTCCTATATGAATCTGGAGAAGTATGTAGAAATATGTACGTGGAAACTGCACTGGCATACAACTGCAGAGCGGTAATTCTAGTTTTATTATGGTGAATAAAACCACACACACTAACACTCATCGTTGTCAGTGATAGCACATACTTTCACTTCTACTTTATTTCTCAGATTCAGTATGACTGCCAAAGAAAAAATTGGCTCATCCCTGAAACTGATAATTAAAGCAGACAACTATTTTAAAAGAGATTAATGGTTTAAAATATGTGACCTGAACTTACTGGAAACAAACATCAAAACAGAAGTCAGAGCACGAACTGAACATTTCCATATTAAGCTGTGGGAAGACCGATGAGTGAAAAGAGTGGAAGATAAAAGGGAAAAATTAAAGTAAACTGGAAATGATGATGTCAGATGACAGGATGTGCCTGGGGGGATTAGGATCACAAAGTAAAGCTCACTCACTATTGGCAACTGCCCACAGCCGCTCCTCCTGGAACTGAAGCATCTGGTAGGTGAAGCCCATGCCTTCCTCACCGATGATGTTCTTGCAGGGCACACGGACATCATCGAAGAAAACTTCAGCTGTGTCCGATGACCACATACCCAGTTTATCAATCTTGCGGGCGACGTGCACTCCTACAGTGGGAAAAACAGGAGAGAAAATAAACATAATCATTTGCACTAATTCAAACAAATGCTATTAAAAGAATGTATATGAAATAACAAACTTTGTTGAGAGGGCACATTTCATTTTGAAAGGTTTTGTCCATGGCAGGCTGCCTGCTTTTGTAGGAACTGACTAAAGCTGTTATCAGTCATGAACTCCAGAAAATTGGGTCGAGACATTTTCCAGAGTTCCACCTATGAACAACACAGCAGGAGATTGCCAGGTGCCGACACGCTCACAACAACAGGAACATGTCCGGAACATTGAGGTGAGGGGTGATGTCTGGGTAGAGCTGCAGGTGGTAGAACATGATGTATACATTAAGCTGCAGAAATTACTTGTTTTTGTAAGCAGGATATCAACACCAGCGTCATCACCAGCCTTCATCACCAACAGCTCTCGAGTTTCGTAGTCTTTTCATGTTGATATCTTCGTCGTCAGCTTCTCTGTGTATGGCACCTCATTTTCATCCTAAGATATTTGTATTTGTCTTGTCTCTGGACATATTTCTTCTCACGTGGGCTCACTCTGACACTTTCTCAACATTTTACTCGGGGACAGGAAGGAAAAGTATCCAGAGCAACTGACTGGGACATTTGCGCTCTCACATACAGCTCCTCCAGGTTCCTACCTGGCAGGTTCATGGGCAAACAGATCAGAGACTTGTTCTTGTGTGGGGGCCCGTCACTAGTGTTGGCAAGGAGGCACATCCAGTCCGCCTGGGTGCCATTGGTGGTCCACATCTTCCCGCCATTGATCACATATTCATCCCCTTTCCTCACCGCATTGGTCTTAATACCTGAATCAGTGAGTGTACAGAGAGAGAAAGAGGTGAGTGGGAAGAAGAATGAGTGTGAGGACAGAAGGTTAAATGAAAAGTTTCAATGGATGAATGGATAAATCTACACACTTCACAGCAGAAAAGTATCAAATATAATTCATGCTATTTCAGAAAAAAAGATGTGAAATCTAGCGATAGTGAACTTTAGCCTTTTTACATGTTGTCCTCTATTCAGAGATCATCAGTGCCAATC